TATTACAATATGAGCAAGATTGCTCAAAAGTTGCAATTTTTGTAAATTTGTCACAATTTGATTGGGTAATGTTGAGTAATCGATGATTGTCATATGACCAATCAAAATAAATTTCTGTCTTGCTAATTTGATCAAAATATCTTTACTCAAAGTTTTTAAAAAATATTAAAAAATTCGAATCTATATCAAATTTTTTAAAACTTTGAATAAAAATATCTTGATAATTATCTGACTAAATTTTATGAAAATTTTTTATTTAAATTCTATAAATTTATAGAATTTAAATTAAAAAATTTTTATTTTATTTAGTTAGCAGGTTGTTAAAACATCTTCACACAAAGTTTAAAAAACTTGTAAAAAATTAACAATTGATCTGCACTACATATTGTATTACACTGCAGCACTAATTGAAATAATCTGAAACCAGTATTTAAAATTTAGATTAAAATTTACATGCACAAATGCAGTTGTGTTATAGGTTTCAATTGCACAAACCAACTATTAGTTGTACATATATATATATAATTTATTTTTATATTGCTCATATTTATTATCTCTGAATGATACTAATATTATAAAATTACTATATATACCAAATATATCTTATAATTTTTAATTAATTTTTCATAATAATTTGAATAGTTTTACAATATTTAAGCTCAATCTTGCTTATGTTTTATATTTATTTATTTCTTTTTGGAACTTTTTGAACTATCTTTATTCTATCTCACATTTTATATTTAGATAAAATTTTTGTGCATCAAATTTTATCATTTCTCTTGCATATTATTTTTTGTACAAGCTCCTTATTTAAATTTAATTGCATACTTGTGCATATGCATTTAGAACTTTTCTTGCACAAAAAAAACTACTTGCATATATACATCTTGCACAAGATAATTTTAAACACTGCCTGACACAGAAACTATATGTGCATATGTTTTTCTAGATGGCACAAAGAATTGCTAATTTTGATTGATTGAATCATATGATATTTACATAATATCATATGATATTGGTTACACAATATTGATCTACAATCTATTTTATATAAATATGAAAAATATTGATACTCTACCTCTAATTAAATATGAGAACGGTTTCCTAAGTCAGCAAAATAGGTTAATTTTATATATAGAATATTATTTATATTAAATATGTGATTTTTAGCAGGCATTTTTCAAGATTTTCCATGCTGCAGTCAACCAATCAGAAACCATATTGTTAGCACGTGATATAAACAGATGGACAGGGACAGTAAATACCTCCATTAAGAATAAAACGGAATAAAATGAATAAAATGAATAAAATGATAAATTATAGCCAATCAAATCTCGCTATTAATCGCGTAATAATCTCGTAATAATCTTCGGAAATTGAAAATTATTTTGAAAATTAAATTTTGGTTGGCTAAAAAGTTTTTTTTTTGTGATATCGGAATAAAATGGAATAACATGGAATAAATGGAATAATTGATATTTTTGTGATAAAAAATTCGTCATTTAATAATGGAAGTATTTACTGTCCCTGCAGATGGATAATCATTAAAACTACGCAGCCAATCAACAGGTGTAACTTGTATATACTTATTTCTCCTATAGTTTAATTTTGAAGTAATATAAGTCACATTTTATAAGAATAAAACTCTTCACCCAGCTATAATAACAATTTACAAGTATAGAAACTTTATTAGAAAAGTTTTGATAAGAAGCTACACGTTCTTTATTAATATTCTTAATACTTTTACATAATTAACAAAACTATACTATTGTAAATATAAAACGACTTCTATTTAATTAAATGTCTTCTAGAGAATTTACAACTTTCGAAAACGTCTTGCGTTAATTATTTAAATAATAATAGATAAGAAAAAAAGAAAAACTAACGCTGAACCTTATGAATTAAGCAGTACAATACGGTAGACAGTACTTCAACTTTTAATAAATCTATCTTTTATTGCGTGACTCAACGTGATTCAAATTGAGTTTCTTAACAAGACGTTCGCTAGGAAGCTATTTAATTAGTAAAGAATTATATCCCGAAAATTCTGGTTTTATACTACCATCCTATATAAATACTCGTGTAATGTCGATCCCGGATCGAATGTGATTTTTTTCACTTACAAGTTTGGTTTGTATCACTTGCAGAAACAGGTTATTATCAGCCAAATCTTCATTATTTGGGGTATATGAGTATTAGAGTCCTGCAAATAACGTTACAGCTGAACTTGTAGAACCTAATATGCACGTACGTACGTACGTACGTACATATTTGTGCTGTATTGTTTATTATAAAGATGCATTAAAGATTGCGTTCTGTAGAATACATTCACACATAGATTCATTAAAGTCATAATAATAATGGTAAATACAAACAAATGGTTGAATGATAAAATTCCTGCAGATAAAAGAAAGCAAATAACAAATCTTAAAATCTACAGCTCCAATGGTCATAATCTTTTCGGAAAGACTAGCATCGAATATTATGGTATTTTGGAAGGAGAGCTAGATCTTAATGAATTTGTTAGTTTACAGTATCTTCATATTACAGGCAGTGAGAAGCAGCAACAAAAGCTAACTAGTTTGAAAGTTGATAAATGTACTAAGTTAACTGAAATTATGATTAATTACACTACTCTCGGTTACTTATATTTAGGAAATAAACCGGATTTAGTTTCTGCTAATTTCAAAAGAAATATAAAACTCAATTTTTGTGACAATGAATTAAAAGATCAAGTAGGAAAATTAACGACTTTGATTCTAACTAAAGATGTTGGTGATTTAAAATTGGAGACTAAGAAAATTAAAGAAAAGAGCTTAGAGTACCAGTTAGATGTTACTAGAAATTGCTTGGATAAGGGAAATCAGTTGTGGTTAGAAAGCTTACAAGATGCTCAGGAAGAAGTTTTACGTAGTAACAGCGCTTATGCCCGTAAACAGTTGGAAAGATGTAAAGATGGAGCTAACTGATGAAGAGATCCAAGAGATTTTAGGCAAAATGATAGAAATCAAAGAATTGGAAACTAAATCAAAGAATTGGAAACTAAATCAAATAATCGCAAGAAATAATTTATACATAGATTCGGATTATTATTTCAATTATCAATGTATCAGAGTTCTGTTTCCTAAAATGTATTAAAGAATTGATGGTGTTTAGAATTTGTTATAATATACGTTCGCTTTGTGTTTTATTGGTATTATCATCTATCCTTTATTCTTCTAATCTTGTTTTTTTTGTATCATCATTATTCTTATTTTATATATATGTTATGGGAGATCGTTTCAAACATTAAAAGATAGTTTAAACTACTTTGCATGAATTAAATAACCAGAGGATATTTCAAATCATTATAGTTTTAGGTTGCTTAAAGTTGTTCAAAGATATTTCGAATTATATATATGTTTTTTTTTTAAAATTATAATATATGAGTTAAGTTTTTTAATCAAGAAAATAACCATTTACAATTTTATTCATCAAACTCTAAAAATAGTTCTCAATAAATTTATGGTCTACATGAATCATATGAGATAGGTATCTATTTCTGTATAAAAAAAGATTTTCACTTGAGGCAGTTGAAACAAGTTCTAAGGTTAATATAAACTTCGTTATATCAAAATACTATACCTATAACTAAATAAAAAAATTTTTTGAAGCTATCACCGCGGAAAATGTGGAACAAAATATAATTTTAGGATACTGTTAATTTTGGCCTCCTTAAGACCGAATATCACCAGAATTTAATTTTTACTGGAAGTTATCAAAATTGTACTGAAATTTATATTTGTTTGTTCCAGAAAAATAGGCATTTTTTGAAACAATAAAGAAAGTCAGTGTATTATTCAATTTTTATAGAGGTAATAGACATAATTCATTTACATTAGCACGGTAATGGAATTTGTTGTATTATTTGCATAAAACTGTAAACTATAATGCTGCAAGCTATTGCCTAGATACTGTATCTTATATAAAAACTAAATATTGGAAAGATCTATTTTAAGAGAGCGCAATAAAAAGATTAGAAAGGATGAAATGACTAGAAAGTGACGTAATAAAGTTTGCATTTTTGCAATAGCAAGCAAATAATAATTTTCAAATAATAATAATAGTATAAATTTTGAAATTTTTAGATTAGAATAATTACATATTTTAAAATTATATTTAAAAATCCATAAAATAAATAAACTACTAAAATAAAAATACAAATAATATATATATATCATAAATATTAATCAATATATAAATGTATTTATATTATAAATATTAATACAGTATTTAAAATGTATTTATATTTTAAATATTAATACAGTATATAAAATATATTTATAATTAAATATAAAATTGATTCAGAAAATCTTTAAGAAATTGAAGCATCCGCAAATTTATTTGTAAGTTCATTAATGCAGGAATCAGATTCATCTATATTTAATAATAAAATTAACATCCAATTATTAAAAATAAATTTAAACAAGTTTATATATTTACCCAAATTTTTGCTGGATTCTTGTCTTGATATATTATTGATTTTGGTATCATCATTTGAAGTATTGGTGGCAATTCTACAAACAATATGATCGCCTAATTAAAAAAATATTGGAATAAATTAATTAATATAGGCCAAATACATCAATTTATTTTTACTATAATTAAAACCCGAACGGCTATTAATATTAGCGCTATTAATAGGAAATCAGCATTAAAACTGCTACTATTACCATTTTCTTTGTACCAGTACGATCATATGAAATATGTGAGGGATGGTTCCGTTCAACTTTTTGGTGAGCTATATTTTTTCCTATT